AAATCAAAAAATTAATTTACAATCCATCGCTGTCAGAGATATTACATGTAACAGAACAAAATGTGTACAAGTGCACTATCTACATTTACAATTAACTGTGTCTGAAACTGGGAGCGAAATAATAAATGTCGCTAAGTAGAATGTTTTTAGGCAGGCAAGATAGCAGCATCAAAACCGGTCTCTTTTACTGAGAATACTAGTAATATTTGTTGCCACCCGTGTCCGCTCAAATTCTTAACACTTTCCTATACATATTTTCCCTGCCGACGTGAACTTGACCTCAGTTTTCTGCGGATCCTAACTGTTACCCCCTCTTGACTTCCCACCTCTCTGGCCTTGACGGTCGTGCGCTGGCTCGCTGCGCGTGACGGCCGCTTCGGTCCAACCTCTGCGTTAAGTAAGAGAGACGGGATCTGCCTCTGCCGTCTGCGTTACTTCTTGCAGTCCTTCCGTTCTCCTTCGTTGTCGATCAGTCTCTGCTTCGCTGCGTCGCGGCCAAGTCCTCGGGCCTCTTCCTTCTTCCTCGTACTGTACCGGCGCCTTGACTAACGCCCAAGGTGGCGAAAAATGTCCCTTGCACTTTACCGAAAACTCGTCCAAGTTCCTCGCTCGGTTGCTACTTTTATCTTTGGACAAGCTAGTAACTTTTTTAATGTGTCCCTCACAACGGGCAACTTTTACTTCCCGTGTTGTTAATTGAAGAAACACTAACTTAATCTGCCACTTATCTCGCGGGACGACTAACTAGAACGTCTCGCTTCGACGCGAATAACTCCTACCTATAGTCGTTGCAGCGGCAAACAATATCTAATAGTATTAACGAAAATGTTTGACTCGTCGAACGTTGATCAAGAGAGCAGCATTCTTACTCGACGCTGTGCAATAAAGGAGAGCTTCCTGCTGCGGTTCGCGTATTTATGGCGCGGCGCCTTGGGAAATTCGTGCATGGGGGGGGGTTGCTTCCCCTCTCTCAAAACCCTTCACAAGAAAACATAGCCGCTAGTTCGCATTCGTTATATGGCAACGGATACCAGCCGCGCGTTTAAGTACCTCTGCCTTACCGCGTCTGTTTATCCTCCTGCTTCCGTAGTATTCACACAATGAGACGTGTTGTTATGGGGTTGGCACAATCCCATAACCCACAAATATATATATATATATATATATATATATATATATATATATATATATCAGTTCCAAAAATTACGTACACTCAATTTTAGTTCCAATTAGCAAATATTTAAAAATAAAATTTGGTTTTTAAATTTAACTTTTTAGTAAAGTAGACTATTTCATTAACTGATACAAAAAAACGCTTATGATATTATTTCGAATATTTTATGATTTTTGTTCCCCGGCCCCAGTACGAAAGTAAAGTTTCTTTCATTAACATATATACCATAATATCAAACTCATCTCAAATTGAATATAGATCTTGGCAAAACGTTTTAAGTTTTTCAAGTCAATTCTACGTCTACCGTTTGAAGAATCTATTGTCCGTTTGTTCAGAAACTTCTCTTCAGGCAAACATGGATTAACTCTGGCCATACTCTTACTATCGGGCCGACATCGAACTTTGTAACGTTATGATGCCACAGTTCTACTGGTTCGTCTTCATTATCATTACTTGGGAATGTATGATACAGAAGTGGTGCCGTTTTTTCCCTCTCGGTTATTGATTAATCTCCTTGTTCTTGTTGTCGTGTGTGTTCTTAATTAGTTTTATCGTCGTCGTTTTAGTCTATTTCTCTTTAAGAAAATAAGTTTCCAGCTTTCCTCGTTGATCCCTACGAAGTAATTTTTTCAATAATTTTGCGGCGACGCCCAATATTTCTGTGCGTGGACATGAGCGACATGGACGTGAGTCGTGACGTTCCAGGTTCCTCATAAATATAAAACAATCGTGACATCCAGCCATGTGATCTTTTAAAAATAAATCCGTGTAAGAGTTAAAAGCCTCGAATTGGATCAATATTTGTCTTCGTAGTTTTCATTAATGATATTGAGAACTTATTGGTGTATTATTATTTCTTGTTATATACTTGTTTTTTCTCTGCATCTTTACTTTGTCAAAATTAGCGCTTCATTACCAACTATTCATAATTTTCAAGAACCATCTTCAACGGAAAAGAATACGAGCGTAATTTCAAATATGTCAATGGAGAAAAAGATTCATTTAAATCTGAACAACATAAATTATATTTCAGCAAACACAATGTTTACGAAATACGCAAAGAAAACCAGTGTCGAATTAATAAATAACTGAGAAATGAATTCGTAGACACACTAAAGTTGAAATGTGAATCGAGTCATAAAATCTAATAGCGCTGTCAAGATAATAACGACAGGCGAACTTCAATGATCATGGTGGAACAAACGTGCCCAATTTCTCTCTCATCGCGAGTTTATTGCGCTAACTAGTTTATAGAATAAGTAAATGGAATGTGCGTACCCTTGACATTAAGAGCAACTTCTCAAATTAACCTTATGTTTGCATCTCCTTGTGTTTTGGAAGTAATGCATTATGGTGGAATTCGATATGAATAAAGTTGAGAATACTTTCAACTATAAGGTTCTCAGCACTGCCAATGTTATCTTCTCGGAAGTTCTCCGTAGTTTCAACGCTGTATCTAAAAATAGATCCTTCTGAATTTATCATTTATTTTGCAAATATGCAAGTTACAGAAGGTGTTGGGCTGCCAAATTAAAGTAAAAATCGGTACTTCGTTCTGCAGTACTCCAATACTGTATGTATAAGGAGCAAGTGTGCATGAAAGAAAGAAAATGAAGATACACTCTGTAGATGCGCCTTCTTCAGTTGCCTGTGTATGAGGATAAATCAGCTGGTAAATCCCCACTAAAAGAAGTACATACACCGACGTTCTTCACATAAGTCTTGTAATGATATTACATTTGTCAAGGACAATAAAAAGGGAAGTTCAACTCAAAAACGCCCAGATACAGTTATAGGGGAAATTTATAAATGATCATTCGACAAAGGCTACAAAAGAAGCATTTTTTGAAAGTAATGAGGTGATAACCTTTATATTAATGATACCTATTTGTGTTTACACTTTCTTCTCGACTCGTTCAGTTCGATTTTCTGCTAATTTGCCTTATGTGAACAACAATAGAATATATTCTTAACTGCATTGAAGTAATATTTGTTAATATTGTATGTAATGCATGTAGCTCCACATAAATTATTTTAATGTTACATTATTTACTTCCTTTGGTATGTTTATTCTGCTATTTTTAATTTCTTACATATAATTTTCATATTTAAACAACAGTAAGGCTATAATACAAATTGACTTTAATATTTAGAATGTCAAAAATTAAACGCTTAGGATAGGATAAAATATAAACTTCGTAGAAGAAACAACCAATTTCGAATGCCAGAGAAAATTAATGTTCTAAATCCAAGCTGTTCTAATGTAAACTTTAGGCTCAGAGTGTCCAAGCTCTCTGCAGTGACGTTGTCTGTGGCCTTTCACGAGACTGGGCAGTGTTTTACCAGCCACCTCCTTGGAAAGTGATACCTCACCCCAATTGTTTAACTCGCACATCCCCAGAAACGTTTATGAAACCAACCAATCGGACCTACAAATCTAAATACAAAGAAGTGTACAAAAACATGTCTAGTATATATCAATTGTATTTATTTTGTTCTAAATTTATAGTCTTTAATTAATAGTCTTTTAATTAATAGTTAATAATTAATAGTCTATAATTCTTCCGTTCATGTTAAAGATCATTCATGGTGTTTTTATATACTTTGTGTCTTAAACTAATAGAGGAGACTTATTTTAAAAAGTGAAACACTGAAAACTTATTTATGAGGCTTCGTATCCATAATAACAATACTACAATACAAAATGGGCAAAATTTAGGTTTCTGTATAATTTATATATCTATATTATAAATATTCGACCATACACTACACAGCAACACACTTTGGGGGCTCCTCTGATCTGGGGTCAGGAGAAGGCGAGGCCCTCCGCGACAACACGTACATGAGAGACGAGGGACAAAAAACCCAAGCACAGAGTCGGTACACACTCTTAACCACCTCGGCCATCCAGGCCGGCCTAGAGCGGATATTTTTTGTATTTCTTAATTGAGCCATCATCGAGTTCACTTCTTTTATGCACAAGACAAGCGATGGTTCGTCTTTCTCCGATATGAACTTGCTCATTGCGAAATGACTGCGACGTGGTTCGAAGGTTTTCAGTCACTACTCCCGTAAAGCGCGTACATAATAAGTAAGGAATTGGAGGGTAACGATGCTAAACCAGTTGTTATATTTAAACGTATGTTAATCTTTCTTTTAGGCAGGCCTTTCTACATTCTAGGTCTTCCCTCCTATGTAATGCGTCATTTGGATTGTGATGTTTATGTGATTTAAAAGTACATAACGGTAACCCCAAACCACCTTGATTTTCGAAATTGGACTTCCCTTGCACATATTGCAGTTGGCGAGGCTACGATCTTAGACCTTCGCGATTCACAAAACACCCTTTACTCTAACCAATGCAAAATTATGGATACATTGTTATGTACCGTCCCTTTTCACTGTCCTTGTAGAATAAGCAAAAATTGGCGAAGCTATAGTAAAGTCCCTCCTCTTAAAAAACAAAAATAAACTCAATCATGAATATATATCTGATAAAAGACAAGTCCTCTTCTTACTTACACTTACTGGTTACACAAGACACTTACCTCTTCAATTGTCAACTATTTAGTCATTTCGCTGCCGTAAATAAACAAATGTCGTCCATACGTGTGTAGCAATCATAAGTCACATGCATCCAATTGTGAAGAATTGAAGAGCTAAGTGGATGAACAAGGTACGTTATTTTGAAACTTCTGTAGATCAATTGCATCTCACATTGACGTTTGCCTGTTCCGTTGGACGCCCGGCCGCCGCCGCCGCCGCCGCCGCCGCCTCTCCCGCCCCCGCGCGCATTGCAGAGCGCTCCTGAGACGCCCCCCGTCTGTCCCGCAGAGTCCCTCGCCGCCGCAGTACGTGTTCTGGTACCACAACGAGAACATGATCAACTACGACAACGTGCGCGGCGGCGTCACGGTGAGCACGGAGCCCGGGCCCAAGACGCACAGCCGCCTCATCATCAACCAGGCGACGCGCGCCGACAGCGGCAACTACACGTGCCGCGCCTCCAACACCGAGGCGGACACCATCTACGTCTTCGTGTCCAAAGGTACGTACGGCCTGCTCGGCGCCGAACGGCAACACAGTGGGCCTTTCAAGCGGCCCTCCGCGAGACGGACGCGCCGCGTGGAAACGACTATTCTCGGATTAAAACATGAAGCCCTTTCGAGGTCAAGAGCTGCCACGACAGCGGGGCACTGTCATCGAATCGCGAGCTTCATTACAACTTCAATTTTCGGTATTGAACCTGCCGATTGGATGTCAATGTCCTCTTCTCTTGCCAGCTCGTGACGTTGAAAGGACTTCGTGTTTTAATCGAAGTATCCGTACATAGCTGCTCGGTAGAGGTCTCTCGGCGATCGGCGCGGCCCATCTGCGCAGGAACCTCGTCTGGGTAGCAGCAATTGGGTCCGGGTGACGGGTAGTGCACTCAACAATGATAGATTCCGGATATGGTTGGACATCATTTTTATTAAGATATCAGTTATAAACGATGTTTCAGGACGCATTGACACAACATTATTATATTCTGTTTGTTTTGCAAAATATTTACTGCTAATTCCATTGTTCGTTTATGTCTTTTTAATTTTGAGGATGTGTGACGAGTTGAAAAGAGAAGCTCTTTAAAGGTCCCAACCTGGATTTGTAGATTCTTAACGATACATAATATAACAAGAGTATGTTACCGTAATCTCTAGTTTAACGCAAAATATGGATTATGTCAACATAAAAAATATTCAGTTTTTTCACCAAGTACGTACTACACAATTAGTATTTCTTTTTAGTTGTTCAGAAGCAAATGTAAGGTAGGGTGTTTTCGCCCAAAATATAACACACTGATAATACACTTCACGCAAAATCATTGGTTAAATCATAGTCAGAATAATAATTGAACAAAAAACTTCCCATGTCCGCAGACACGAAGAAAACTGCAGATATCCTTACTCTTTGGTCGGCAATTTCAAGCGTACAATGTGCTCTTTTTATAGTTATTGTTCCCTGTACCAAAATCCTTCATGCTAAAAATTGTGTGTGACCACGACTGTTAGCTAAATAATGAAGTGTTATGACAATCTCAAGAAATATTACAGAAACTAATGTTATTTGCATTTATTACATACACTAATTTGAATTCAAATTTTGAATTTCAACAATAGCACATATTTTTCACATTATCTGTAAATTTTAGAATTATTGAAAATTAAGAGACTTTAATGAAAATAAGACATGTCTATTCTTTGAATCATACTTTGCTCCAACCAAGTAAAAATTGTAAAGGAAAAATTTGGGGAAGTTGGCATAAAAATGGAAGTTACCTTTCTTTCAAGCGAATAGTATGCAAATATTACTAGATTGTTTAAATTTTACATTACTATTTAAAAATATTATTTTTACTTTCTATACTACGTACTTATGTAGTAAGTAGTGTATTAAAATGTTGCAACGGAAAGCAGCGATTTGTCGTCAGAAAAGATTATGGGACGCTGATATAGGAAAATAATGTCTTTCTATATGTAGATAATTACTTCTTCTAACACTTAGTGCAATGTGAATTCGAATTCGAAACGTTTTCTTAACATTTTCTCTACTAGAGCAAAGAACACAAAAAATGCGCAGGTTCCATTATAAGTCCCATTATCATTTTTCAAATTTCACAAAGTTAATATTATAAAACAAAGCATAAAACGTATCAGATATAAATAAGAAATACATCTCCGAATAATATTCAAGGTAGAGATTTGTCCGTTGATAAAATTGTTTTGAAAAAATTAGATCTTTAAATAAGTACATTTACATTTTTTAAATTATGCGAGTGGTTTGTTGATGTAATATTTGCTTGAAGTAAAGATTTTTTCTCAAAATCAACTTCTCATTTTTTTAAATTTTCCGTGGATAGAGCGAAGGAAGATTGAAAGTGGCAAAGACATTATTTGAATTGTCTCTTAATTTTCGATAGATTCAAAAGTTACAAATAATGTGAGAAAATATACGCTTAATTAATCATAAAAATATTTATCATAAAAATATTTGCTGTTTTAGAACTACTACTATAGAACAGATTTCAATAAGCAAAAAAATCTTGTCAATATTATTACTTTTGCCAGTACATTTAATTTTAATGCAATTTTCGAAATACACAGATTTCTCTGAAAATGAGACCTGTGCCATTTTTATATTCTCTATTCGGGGAGGAGGAATTTTAATTCAGAGCCATTTTTGAGGAAATTTGGAAAATGTTAGGGCATTATGTAACTACCCCCAAAAAATCAATCTATATGTTTCAAAGGGCCTAGAAATCGGCCAGAGTGATCGGGGAATATAAATTTCGGAGAAAACCGTCTCAACTGTTTTGGCGCTTTCCTTGACGGACGGACGGAAGGACGAAAAGACGGACAGACTGACGAATGGATAGAGGGGCAGGCATAGGAACAGGCATAGGGTCGGACATAGGGACGAACAGATAGACGGACAAACAAACAAAAGGGCAGACGGGCAGACTGATGGACACTCAGACGTTTATTCATAAACCAATTTTTCGGCATCAAAGACCTCAGACAAGTGAATTTGTACTACACAACGTGTTACAGTATTAATTTACTGTATACGAGGATGTCCGAGAGAAAAACGTCGAAAATTCGCAAATAAGCTCACAAAACAATTTAAATCATATTTTTTCTAATAAACTACTTGGATATTCCGAATGTTTGAGCCGCAATAAACACTCAAAATTTTGTTTGAAAAAAGTGCTTTGCAATTTTTCAATACATTTTCAAAACAATTCAAAAATTTGCATTGCAGTAGTATAGAAACACTCTAGAAGCATGTACATTTTTTATTATTATAAAAGAAATTAATATATTTCTTCAAAAAGAAAAATTAACACAGAAATAAAAAAGTACCCAATTTACATAATTCATTTTTTTTATTTTCGGGTTATTTTTTTCTTTCTAAACAACTGTATCAATTTTTTGTATATAAAAAGCAATTTACAAGTTTATAGAGTGTTTTTTGCTTCTGGAATGCAAATTTTTGCCTAGGAAGCATTTTTTAAAACAACTTTTGAGTGCTTATAGCGGCTTAGCCATTTGGAATATCCAAGTAGTTTATTAGACAAAATATGCTTAAAATTGTCTTAAGATCTTATTTTGGAAGTTTCGACGTTTCCTCCCGGACATTCTGTATTGGTATATGTATCAATTTCCTCGATATCAAAGCCTCACAATAGCGGTTTTCTATCGAAACCCACTTGCCACACTCCGATGCACCGTTACAACACTTTCTCCTTCCTATGTGAGTACATATTTCGGTGAGAAAGAGATAGTAATGAAGCGCAATTGCGCGGTTCACGCGCTCCATCAGCCGTTACACATCACTGCGTCTGCATAACCTTTCAGGTATTGGTTGACGCTCACTACCCTCAATTAATTCCACTGCATTTTTACACCCTAAGGAACCTTCACCCAAACCTCCACTCTGAAACTACGCCGTCGCTCGTAAGCTCCTTGTGAGAGAGACCAGTCTCCAGCTGCTAGCGGCTAGTAATCCCCAGGCGGCGTTTGAACCCTATTACACGTAGAGAGGTTTGGTGGCGGCCAGTTGGGGCTCACGAAGCGGCCCCCAGGCCCATTACGGAGCTTACTTGCCCTGGCACGAGGCAGTTACATTCATACTTCATTCACATAGCATTCTAAAAAGGAGAGGACTGGGAGGAAATTGTGTACTGAAAGTCCTGTACGGTGGTTGGTATTTTTTTCCTAATCTGATTTGAAAATACGTGTTGGTTGGGATTTTTTAAATGTAAATCGTGCATATCAACGTTTAGAGAACCCCTCCATTTCACGCTCATATCCAAACAGGGATTCGCACCCTCAGCGGACGCTCGCGTCTCCCGCTGGGCCCTGGCCGCCTTTACGCAACAACCATCAGCTTAGGTGGCTCAGGGCATCAATCGATGTCACTGCAGACCACTGACCGGGAGATCTTTGGGTTCGCGTCCCAACAGTGGCTCGAATTGTCACATTAGCTAGGTAGGTTCGATTCAGTGCTGTCTCGAGGATAATTCTAGCGGCCGGTTGCTCTGATCGAAAGTTTTCCGTGGTTTCTCCAATCAACACCAGACGAATACCGGAGTAATACCTTAACAAACGGGCCGCACACCGCGCGCGATCTTTCTTTCCTTCTCCTTGTTCTGTGCTCACCCCTTTCTCACACACTCACATGCATTACAAACTGATCTTCAAAAAGACACTGACAAAAGCATTACTGATCATCAAAAAGAAAAATTATGTGTATTTTAACAAAACAGTGTTATATAATGTATTAGTTTACATTTAACATAATATATTTTCAACGACTTAATATGCTGGTAACAAATAATGAACTTCAGCTTCCGGGTCAATGACCCCCACCTCGACCAGGTTTTTGTCCATTTTCCCTGATCCATTGAGAAAATCCTGAGATGGCCCCTTCTTTTGCTCCTGGACGTAAATGTTGCTTCACTATGCGGATGTTTTGTTGACCTCTCCTTTGGCGTGTAGTGGTAGGAGTAAACGGTAAGGGCAAGCCACTACTTTGTTAGCAATGCAGAAAAATCATATCTGCAGTTCGTTTACCGTTGCAAATAATTTTTCTATATCTTGGGAACGTGTGTAGTTTTTCAAATGATGCTAATCTCGCGTTCTCTTAAATTTCATATTTATTTATTTATCTTTAAATTTCACTCATCTTTCAACTATTTGTAGTTATGATGAGAAGGGATTCTGGAACTCATGAAAACATTCGCATATGATCTTCAACCCATACTTCACATACAGTTTTTACTGTTTTTTTTATTTTTTTACTAAATAAATCTAATCTAATCTAAACCACTCTTGTCAGGATACCAGGCGCGTGTCTCGCCTGGGGCGGTGCGCCGCTGGTGGGAGATATCTGGTTGGGGAAAACCCCGCTAACGGACGTGTAGGTCGGTGCGTAAACTCGCTATGCAGTGGGGGAAGATCACCGCCATTGACCTTAGTAGATGACTCGCCAGGAAACACTATTCAATCA